CTCCAGCAGCCCTGTGAGCGCCTGCTGCCACGTCAGCGAGTGCATGTACTGCTCCGTGTTGATGATGCTGATCTCACGCTCCAGCTAGGGGATGATGGCGCCCGTGCGCCAGCCATGCCACAGCATGAGATCCGCCAGGTCACTATAGAGGTGGTCCCTGAAGTAGAGCACGTGGGGGCCGCGCCATTCCGTCAGGCGTAGGAAGTCAAACAGGTTTCCCTGCCGATAGATCTTGCCCTTTTCCAGGCGGGTGATCCGGTCCCACTGAAGCGAGCCCCTCTCGTCGAATTTTCTGAAAGGCTTGCGCCGGTCAGTGAAGAAGCTGGGCTTGTCCGCCTGGACGATGACCACATCGAAGAGCCAGTGCCAATCGGGACCCACCATGTGCCGCATCCCCTTGTCTACGAAGCTGAAAGGACTGTTGGTGATGAGGAACAGCTGTTTCCCGTGGTTCACCAGGCGGCTCAGGACGGCAAACCTCTCGTCCCCTCTCAGGATGTACTTTTCCATGTCCTGCTCGATCCACTGGCACATGAGGCCCTTCACATGCACGTCTCGGATGGTGTCCGTCACATCCTTGTAGAGGTGCGCTTGGTCAAACTCCAGGCCATGGCCCAAGAAGTAGTCCACCACACAGGACAGCAGAGCCATCTCTGGCAGCGAGAAGATGTCCATGAACTGCTTAATGGAGGGACCCTTGCCGTAGAAGCCGTTCCTCTGGTACAATGGGATGTGCTGGGTGACCACATATAGCTCGATCACCTCTTCATCTGGCACAGGCTGGAGGCCCCTGTAGGCTGTCCCCAGCTGCACGTAGTGGTAGGCGTCACTCTTCATCAGGAGGCTATTTGGAATGTCATAGTGGAGGCCACGGATGGCAAAGCTGGGGTTGTAGTCATATTTCCGAATCCCCTCTGGGTACTTGTAGTGCTCAATCAGGATGTGGCGGGCGGTGCTGAAGATCTCGGGGTGCAATGCGTCTGCATACTGGGCCAGGGTGTAGTCATAGTCAAAGCCATAGACCTCAACGTCACGTAGGCTGATCTCGTTGTTGGCATAGATGGCTGCTAGGTTCAGGAGACTGCAGACCTCACGGGGCAGGAGGTCGTACACCAGTCTCCACATGTCCTGGTAATGAGCCCATAGGTGCGCGGTGAGGTCGGCGCTGCCAGCGGGTGCCGGGGCACTCGGGCAGGGGGCGCTGGGACCTGGGGGGCCGCAGCCAGGGCAGGAGGGCGAGGACGAGGTGGCTCGCGGCCCACTGTGGCCTCCGCACAGTAACCAGCGTTGTTTTTTTTCGAGCGGCCGCTAGTAGCCCCGCACCCGCCATGCCCACTGCGCACCGCCCGCAGCCCGTGTTGCCCTCAGCCCTTGCGCCCGGTACTTTCTATTTTCTATGGGGTATTNAAAAAAAAAAAAAAAAAAAGAAGAAAAAGAAAAGAAAAAGAAAAAGGAGGTAGGAGCCAAATTTGCTAAAAATTCCAAAAGCGGGTCTATAGCTCTGCTTCAGAATTACCTGAAGGTTGGATGAAGCTGAAGTCCATTATTTAATCTGATAATTTCTATACATCACAAACAATGGGCTGAAAACCTCAGATCAGGAAACCCTTCCTGAAACTCTGGATGTGACTTAATGTCCTCCTTTTTCTAAACAACTGCAGATGTCTGTGCACATCTCTGCTGTGGCTTTGGTCATATCTCCCTGCATACACAGGAAGTCACTTGCTTCTTAGTTGCCCCTTTTCTTGATTATGTTTTTAGAAGGAAGATCTGGTTTTAAATTCAATTTGATATCCCAAGAATCTAGCACAGTTTTAGGTAAGAACTCAGTAAAAATCACTACTACTACTTCTAATATGACTACGATTATTAGTACTGCTGCTCGTAGTACTAGAGTACTAGTACTATTCCTGTTTTTGCTGCCTCTGCCATATCCAGTGTAGCTGGTGAGCTAATGTGGGCCCCATTTATGCACAGGGGATATGCATGCACATTTCCACACTGTGGTCCCTTTTCAGCCACCCTCCCGAGATGGTCATGGCAGAGGGAAGATGTGGAGGTGTTCTGGGTGAAAAGAAAAGTTTAAGAGTTTATGAGAGAAAAACCACTCATATTGCAAATAGTGGTATGATCGCTGTGAATTTGTTATACCTCTTGGATTTTAAAATATTTCTATATATGTAGCACTTTCTATTTTCTTTCTTTTTTTTTTTTTTTCCAGGGAGGAGACCATTTTTATTGCTTGTCTGGGTGAATGCCCTGGGTAGATGGGGCAGGAAGGGTGGGGAGCCTGTCCGGGACAATAAAGGTGCCCTCAGCGGATGTGAGCCATGTCGCTGAGGAAGGGAGTCTTCATGCAGCCGGTGCAGAGCTGGTCCATCCAGAGCGGGGCCTCATGCTGCAGGGGTGTGCGGCGCGGGTAGAAGGTGAAGTCCACGCAGTAGTTGAGCGGGCAGCTCAGCTCCTGCCGCTCTTTCATCCAGGCAGCTAGCACCTGCCTTGACTTCGCGTCCTGATAGGTCTGCATGCTCTCCAGCAGCCCTGTGAGCGCCTGCTGCCACGTCAGCGAGTGCATGTAGCCCCGCACCCGCCATGCCCACTGCGCACCGCCCGCAGCCCGTGTTGCCCTCAGCCCTTGCGCCCGGTACTTTCTATTTTCTATGGGGTATTTGGTATCACCCACTAAAGGTATGATTGCCCTAGCATGGTGATGCTGTAGGAAGAGATGCAAATTTGATTCCACATCATCTAATACATATTTTATCAGTAATTAGGGAAACATTTGCGAAACTAATGAACTTAAACAAGTCTCTGAGTCTCAGCGTCAGTTTCACTGTCCATAAATTCAGAATAATGTAACCTGTCGTTTTAGGGCTATTTGGAGAATGCAAAGAGGAAACAAATATGAAAGCAATTTGCAAGCTGCCAGGTAGTAGACACCATAAGGTGTTATTATATAGCCATGATAATTTTTTTTCTGAACCTCCTGTAGCACTTCGCACTGAATGGCAAGGTCAGCTTGGTTGGAGGCCAGAGCCGTGGTCTGGTTGAAAATAAGCACCTGACATGAGGTCCAAAGACCTAGGAACAAAGCCCTGTCCCACCGTTTCACTAGCTATGTGACCTGAGATAATTTACTTGAGAAAAGAATCTTAAAGTCATTCAGCTCATGGGTTACCATGAGAATTAAGTAGAAAAATATCTGTGAAGGCACCTGGTGTACAGCAGGCAATTGGCCAGTGTTTACACAGCATATTTTTTAGGGCAGAGAAAGACACAGATGAATCAAAATGCTTCTCAGCAGGTAGCCTGCAAAGAGGAGAAAGCCTGAACTCCATAGACCTGGCTTCCTGCTCTGCCCCATGTGGCCTGAGAAAGTCCTGGAACCACTCTAACCTGTTTCCTCAGATGAGAATTGGGAGTAATAATGAGAATAATAATGATAATGACTATTCCCTTAATTATCTCTTAGGATTGCTCTAAGGACTAAAAAATATGAGATAACACCAGACATGAGATAGGAATTAAAACTTTAGTCTATTCTCCCCCAAAGTTTAGTGTCGTGCTCATGATAATTCTCCTCATTTTTAAAGACAATCTTAAGCCACATCCAGTGTTTTCTGTTGACTCAATATGTGCCTAGGATGCGCTTTTGACAAAATGTATGCAGCCCAGTATAAAACTTTACCTTAGCCGCACATGGTGGCACATATCTGTAGTCCCGACTATTCAGGAGGCTGAGGTGGGGGGATCGCTTGAGCCCAGGAGTTTGAGGTTGCAGTGACTGCACTCCAGCCTGGGCAACAGAGTGAGACCTTGTTTCAAAAAACAAAGACAACAGCAACAACAACAAACAAGAAAGGTAGCTTTTGCCATCTCTGAAAGCCATCTTTTGAGTGGCAAAACACCAATAAAAATGAATGAAGGTGGAGAAGAGGAAAGAGAGAGGCAGCTGATGAGAAATGGAGGGATAGCGTAGGAGCAAGAGGAGACACTCGTTCCAGCAACTTTGATAAGATGCAAGCTTTCTTCCCGAGCTCTTCTCCCCTTGTCCACCTTAAGCCCTTCTCTTCTGTCCTCCTTTCCTTTAAAGCCTTCGTGAAGGCAAAGTCAACCAAGATCTCAGAGGGTGCAAAGGGAGGCACAGTGCGGCGGAAGAGCACCATCCCTGTGGGCTGATGAGGCCTGCCCACACAACGGGGCCCCTGCAGCTGCAGCCTTACTGACTAGGTTGATTCAAAACAACAATGAGGCTGGGACGGTGTAACAATAAGGAGAACACCTACCACATATTGAACTTTCTGTATTGAACCTATTGAACACCTACCATGTATTGAACACCTAATATGTATTGAACACCTACTGTATATTGAACTGTGTGCTCTGCTGGTATGTTCTCAGTGAACTATCAATGACAGCCTCATCGGGCGGTTCTGCAGCACAGTCTTTTTGCCCAGTCATGGAGTTAGTAAGCTGCAGAGGCAGGACTTGAAGTCAGGTCTGCCACTCCACCGTCGCCTTTCAGCTCCTAGCTTCTGCACCATGGGTGGCTAAAGATGTCTGAGCAAGCATTTCTGTGTGAGGTCATCATTCAGAAGTGGTTTATGTCAGCAACTTGTTTGGTTCATCTTCCTAGAGGCAGAGGTGGTGAATAAGCTCTTTTACTCATGAGTAAGTGGAATTTGTTTCTGAGAGACTGTTAATAGGAGGGTCATATAAAGATTGCCCCATAGAACGAACATGGCTTAGACTTGAGGGGCTAGCTGGGAAGTCTCCTGCAAGCCAGTCCAGAAGGGTGAGGTTACCCCAGTGATGCTGGCACTTCAGATACTGAGGGAGCTGGGAGAAACTTCCACCAGAGTCATGGTGCTTATGGTGTCAAACATTTCTGAGAGGCTAGACGAAGTGAGAACCAAAAAGGCCTATGAGGTTTTACAATGAGAAGGTAGGTTGCTCTCCAGTGTCTGAGATCACATCATTCATTTTATTATATTTCTACTCAAAAGATTTCTAAGGGGTTGTTCTCTATCTTGTCACCAGTTTGGGGGAGTACACCCTCTTTAGGGTCGCTCTGTGTATCCCCTTTCCATACAGCTCACAGAAAGTGTCTTTTCACTGAACTTAACCACCTGATTGTTAATGAGGATAGAGATACACCTCTGCTGTAGCTGAAGTGCTCAACAGTCTCCAGAGTTAGCTATCTAAGTCTTTCCTGGACCTGGATGTTTGAATCAATCAGTACATCTGTGACTGTGATGATTATTTATGCCTTTTGACATAGCTCACCTGAATCTGAGAGCTGATGTATTTTTCTTAAACTTTTTTTTTTTTTTTACTGTGAAATATTCTAGTCACGCATGTTGGTGGCTGGAAGAGTGAATTAATAGTAGTCTAATCACCCTGGAGATGCTATGCTTCTGTGAGCTGGCACTGAGGTAAGGCAGCACATCTCTGTGAGAATGACAAGTGAATGAATCTGCTCCTCATTTAACCTGCTGTTCTTTTCTCTCTGTCTGTTTTCTCTCCTAGGAAACAAATGGAAGACTGCTGCGACCCTGCCCATCTCTTTGCAATGACTAAAATGAATTCCCCCATGGGGAAGAGCATGTGGTACGATGGGGAGTTTTTATACTCATTCACCATTGACAATTCAACTTATTCTCTCTTCCCTCAGGTTAGTATAGTGTTTGTTGCATTTCAATATAGTTTCTTAAATTTCTTGCTATCATAGAAAAGGGTTACTTGAGTTTGCCTAACTCATCAGATCGACTTTTTGTTTTCTTCTCTCTTAAATGTTTTTCTTTATAGCTGTCAACCTTGTGTGTGTGAATAAATCACATAGTGTTTTGATGCAAGGGTGGACGTAGGATATTATAGAGTTACAGTTTTCCTAGCTTTTCTAATTTGAGTCCTGTGAGACTGAAGGAAGCAAAAAATGAATGGTCAGGAACGTGTGGAATTCTTGTGTTCTGAGGTTGGCTGTGGCATGACTGTGAGGATTTGTGTGATACTGGAATGTCTTCTTAGGACTGATGTTGCTCAAGGAGTGGGGACCATATGGTTAGAAGGTTGCTTCTTAGAGCTCCTGAATGTTAACCCTGTGGTTAGATTACTGCTGTGAAATGGAGGAGTGGTGAATTTGAAGACGGATAATTCAACTTGACCACTTTTGAAGTGGTCTAAATCAAGCTTTGCTTACTTAATGTCTCTTCTTGGTTTTCTGAGCATTGAAGTAAAATGTTTTTCTAACATACATGTAGGCAGCAAGTGGAGAGAAAAGGGAAATTTTATTTTAGAGTACCCTGGTTGTGGGGAGGGGAGATCTTAGGT